CTCACAGCTTCGCCGTGCCACAGGAGCTCATGTCAGGCAGTGTAGATGGTGAAGAGGAACGGAGCCAGAACCGTTCCCTGTGGGGCCCCCGTACTGCAGACGACCCTGTCCGACACACAGCCCTGAGTCCTCACATACTAACATAAACATAAAAAATAGACATAACAATTCATCATTCATTCATAATAAAAACTCCATCACCAAACTTGCACATACACACCATTCTGTTCCCAAATAAAACATTAAAACTAGACAACTCATACATGAAGGCTGCTGATTGGCTCAGACCAGCTCCAGGATGCGTCCGTCAGAGTCCAGGATGTGGACGGTGTGTTCAGTAAACACTGTGTGTTTGCAGACGGCCGAGCGCAGCCTACAGAGGCCTTCATGTCTCTGCTCGCTGTCGTGACTCTTTGTGTTGAACCTTTGTTGTTCTCTGTGCGGCCGTGTTGTGTTCAGGGGCCGAGCACTAATGCCGTTAATTAGACACCCGGGGGGTCGAGAGGCGCTCGTAGCTCTGCTTGTTTTCCTCGCCTGTACATTTTCTAACTTGACTGTACTGTTGCACTGCTCCGAGAGCTCGGCCTGATGAAGCACAGCTGTGCTGAAGTTTCAAGCTGAAGCTGTTGTTGGCCTGGAGTGTCTGCGGAGCGAGCGGCTCATAAAACCTGTTATCAGCAGGAAAACCTGCACACGAACGAGAGCGCGCTTACATAACCCCGTCAGATTTTTGTGTTGGAGCATAAACTCCTCCAGGCTCCTGTCTGCCTGGGATATTGATTAGATGGGAGGCCTGCTGGGAGGTGCTGGTGAAAGGGGGAGTCATGGGTGGAGGAGGGGGAGGAGCAGGAATGCAGCAGCTGCAGCTGAAGCCCTGAAGCTGTGTGATTTGTGTTTGTTATCTGAAGCATGAATGCCGGCACTATCTTATCTGCCTGCACACTTGAAAGGTGACTGCTGAATATAAACAGAGCACTTAACGCCAAGCCCCCCCCCCCCCCCCACGCCGCGGGTGGAGGCGGAGCCGTTTGAGCTGCACTGGAAAAGCGTGTGTGTGAAAGCACGACATCCACGGTTACTGACGGTAAACAAAACTAGACTCCAGACCGAAGCCGGGGGGGCGGGGTCTAACTAACTCTGTTAGAAGCTTCTTTTGCGTCGCTGCTGTTTGACAGATTTTTAGTGTTTTTATTTTAAAATATCAAAATATTAGTTTTTAAAATCCTCGTTCGGTCACATGGTGCGATGGGCTTTTATTGTGACGCCAGGAGGAACCGTCTGTGTGTGGACGGTTTGTGGGGTCTGATAAAAGACACAGACTGTATATAAAAGATGTCACGGGCGTCACACGGGCGTCTGTATGACACCGGGTCAGACTGAGGCTACAAACTTCAGTCACAGGCTTAAAGCACAGAGCAGTCGCCCCCTGCTGGCCGTGCAGGTCTAAGGCATTTTCACGTTGCCATCTTTTTATACAGTCTGTGCTAAACCTCCCGAGCATAAGTGTTTTGGTCTTTGTGCACTGAGAGTGCGTTTCATGTCGGCTGCTGTAGAAACCAGAATCGGTTTTATAGCCACTGAAACTGGACTAATTAGTCTTTCTTTAGAGCTTCGCGGTTTTTAAAATATGTCCCAGCTCTGCGGGAAACTCCCAGATAAATGTAACGCAAAGTTTATACGGAGGAAAAATGTGAAGCTGAAGACAAAGAGAGGCGTGATTTAAACGCCGATGCTCCGGTCCGGTGAGTTAACGACTGATAGAGCAGGAGAGAAAGGCAGATAAGATTAAAGATATGAAAAGAGGAGGGCGGTGCAGAAATAACTCGCATTCCTCCATCAGACGGGAGGAGGAGAAACAGATGGAGGGGGGAGGAGGTCTGTGGTGGACAGGTAGAGTGTGGGAGGAGCAGAGGGGGAGGGCAGAGAGTTTGCTCTGTAGTAGTTTGTGACAGAGGGAGAGGAAGGACGCCGGACGGAGAGCAGCGTGGCAGCTTTGTATGAGGGCGTCTGTGGTTACTGAGAGATGGGGGCGGCGGAGAGCAGAGCCCACGGCGAGCTCAGCAGAGCCCACGCCAAACCG